ATTGGCTCCCACTGCTGTCAATCACAACCAGTGAGCCAATGAGACAAGAATGGGCAGGGCCAAGCAGCTGCTCCTTGTGTGAATGAACACAAAGAGCAGGGGGTGCCCCCATAGCAAGCTGCTTGCTGTGGCGGCATCCGACAGCAGGGAGGGACCAGGAGCGCCGGCGGGGGAACCCGAGAAGAGGAGGATCGGGGCTGCTCTGGGCAAAACCACTGCACACAGCAGATTAGCATAGACATGTTTTTTGTTTTGTTTTTTTTTTTTTGTTTAAATAACAAAGCCTTTAGAATCAAAAAAAGATCAAAAAAAAAAAAAAAAAGTTTTTTAAAAATTGTAAAATAATTAAAGTTACACCCAACATATAACATGAAAACAGCGATTGTGATACACGTTACATATCACCTCACATGCCGGAGTGAGAGCAATATTTCTAACATCTGACATAACTGATGACTTTTAAACTGCGCTTTAAAGTGTTGCTTATAGCAAATATAGGTTGATGAAGTTTGTCAATGGTGCAGGCAAATTTTGGTTTGACACGTTAGGTATTTATTTACTCGGTGCAACCTCATCTTTTATATTTTACCTAAAATTGGGTAATATATTGCGTGTGTGTGTGTGTGTGTGTGCCATAAAAAGAAACCTCTAGTGTATTTTTTTTATTTTGCATTTCCTAGACCTTTGCGATAATATCATGCAACATAAAAAAATTGGACCTACAACTATTCTATTCACTAGAGTGTGTTTCAGAAAATACAGTGGATAAAATAAGTATTGAACACGTCACCATTTTTCTAGGTGCTATTGACATTAAAATTTCACCACATTAGTAACAACCCATGTACATACAGTTAGGTCCATATATATTTGGACACAGGCACAATTGTATCTTTTTTTCAGGTATTTACCAAAACATATTCAAGCTATAGTTATATAATGGATATGGGCTGAAAGTGCACACTTCCAGGTTTAATTTGAGGATATGTACATCCAAATTGGAGGAAGGGTTTAGGAATTACAGCTCTTTAGAATAACCACCCCCCCCCCCCCCCCCATTTTCAAGGGACCAATCATAATTGAGACAATTGAATCAAAAGCGGTTTCATGGCCAGGTGTGGGCTACTCCTTCGTTATTTCTTCTTCAATGAAGCAGGTAAATGGTCTGGAGTTAATTCTAAATGTGGTACTTGCATTTGAAATCTATTGCTGTGAACCTACATCATGCGTGCAAAGGATCTGTCCATGCAAGTTAAACAGGCCATTGTAAGGCTTCAAAAACTAAACAAATCCATCAGAGAGATAACAGCAACATTAGGAGTGGCCAAATCAACAGTTTGGTACATTCTAAGGAAAGAAGAACACACTTGTGAGCTCAGCAACATAAAAAGGCGTGGACGTCCACGGAAGACAACAGTGGTGAACGATCGCAGGATCCTCTCTATGGTAAAGAAAAACCCATTCACAACATCCAGACAAGTGAAGGACACTGTCCAGGAGATGGGCGTATCATTGTCAAAGTCAACAATCAAGCGAAGACTTCACGAGAGCAAATAGAGAGGGTTCACCACAAGGTGTAAACCATTCATAAGCCTGAAGAATAAAAAAGTCAGATTAGACTTTGCCAAAAAACATCTAAAAAAGCCAGACCAGTTCTGGAAAAGCATTCTTTGGACGGGTAAAACTAAGATTAATCTGTACGAGAATGGCAGGAAGAAAAAAGTGTGGAGAAGGCTTGGAACAGCTCATGATCCAAAGCACACGTCATCTGTAAAACATGGTGGAGGCAGTTTGATGACATGGGCATGCATGGCTTCCAGTGGCACTGGGTCATTGGCGTTGATTGATTATGTGACAGAAGACAGTATATCTCTAAACACTGAAAAAATTCATCGAGCTGCTTCGGTCAGCCCAGATTCAGCCAAATGCAGCAAAGTTGATTGGATGGCACTTCACAGTAGAGATGGACGAGTCAATCACCTGATCTCAACCCAATTGAGCATGCATTTCACTTGCTGAAGGCAAAACTATGGGCAGAAAGACCCAAAAAGAACAACTGAAGGCAGCTGCAGTTAGAGCCTGGCAAAGCCTCAGAAAAGGAGGAAACCCAGTCTTTGGTAATGTCCATGGGTTCAAGACTTCATGCAGTCATTGCCAGTAAAGGATTCTCAACAAAATATTACAAATTAACATTTTATTTATGATTATATTCATTTGTCCAATTACATTTGAGCCCCTGAAAATGGAGGAACTGTGTATAAAAATGGTTTCAGTTCCTAAAATTTGTACTTGATATTTATGTTCAACCCCTTGAATTAAAGCTGAAAGTCTGCACTTCAAATTCATTTGGATTGTTTTTTAATTTATTCTGGTGGCATACAGAGCCAAAAAGTATGTAAAATTGTGCCTGTGTCCAAATATATATGGACCTAACTGTACATACACAGAAACCAAAAAAATAACATCAGAAATTAAGTTATGTGTAATAAAATAGAATGACACAGGGAAAAGGTATTGAACAGGCTAACAGAAATGTATTTAATACTTTACAAAATCCTTTGTTGGTAATGACAGCTTCAAGGTGCCTCCTTTATGGAGAAACGAATCGCATGCAATTCTCAGGTATGATTATGGACAATTTTTCCCACACAGTCTTCAAATCTTGAAGGTTCCGTGGGCCTCTTTTATGAACTCTGATCTTTAGTTCTTTCCATAGATTTTTTTTATTGGATACAAGTCAGGTGATTGACTGGCATTCTAGCAGCTTATTTTCTTTGAAACCAGTTGAGAGTTTCCTTGGCTTTGTATTTGGGATCATTGTCTTGCTGATATGTCCACCTTCATTTCATCTTAATCAACCTGGTAAATGGCAACAGATTTTTATCAAGAATGTCTTGGTACATTTTTCCATTAATCCTTCCTTCAACGACATGAAGTTTGCCAGTACCGTATGCTGAAAAACAGCCCCCCAAACTTTACTGTTGGTATGGTGTTTTTAGGGTGATGTGCCGTGCCATTTGACCTCCAAACATGGTGTGTATTATAGCATCTAAAGAGTTCAATTTTGGTCCCATGTGACCAGACTATATTCTCGCAGTATTTCACAGGCTTGTCTAACTATTGTACATAAAACTGTAAACAATCTTCAACATGCTTTTTCTTCAGCAAAGAAGTCTTGCGTGGTGAGCGTGTACACAGGCCATGGTGGTTGAGTGCATTACTTACGGTTTTATTTGAAACAATTGTACCTGCTAATTCCAGGTCTTTCTGAAGCTCTCCACAAGTGGTCCTTGGCTCTTGGACAACTCTTCTAATTATTTTCTTTCCTCTGTCAGAAATTTTGTGAGGAGCACCTGGTTGTGGATTATAGAGAAATAATGTTCTTTCCACTTCCGGATTATTGCCCCAACATTGCTCATTGGAAACATTCAGAAGTTTAGAAATCCTTCTGTAACCAATCCCATCAGTATGTCTTGCAACAATAAGGTTGCAAAGGTCTTGAGAGCTCTTTGCTTTTACCCATCATGAGATGTTTCTTGTGTGACACCTTGGTAATAAGACACCTTTTTTTGTCCATCAGTTGAGACTGAACCAGCTGATATTAATTTGCACTGACAAGCAACTAATTTCTAATTACTGATTTTAGCTGGTGTCTTGGCTTACCATGCCTTTTTGCACCTCCCTTTCTTCATGTGTTCAATACTTTTTCCCTGTATCATGCCTTTTTCCCTGTATCATGCCATTTTATTACACAACTTAATTTCTTAACTTGTTTTGGTTTCTTTGTATGTATGGATTGCATGGGTTGTTACCGACATGTGGTGAAAATTTTATGTCAATAGCACTTTTAGAAATATTTTTACCTAGAAAAATGGTGACGTGTTCAATACGTTTTTAATCTGTTGTATAGAATGTTTTGGGGGTTTATGCAATCTTTAGGGCTAAAGTGATTTTTGAAATGTGTGCAAAAAAAAAAAAAAAAAAAAAAATGCAAAAACGGCTCTGGCAGCGAAAAGGGTTAATGTTTTGAACACTTAATATTTTGGAATATATTTAGTAGATTTAAACAGTTGGGATTTTAAGAAAGTGTTGCCTAGGCTGCATGTTGCAACTATGGCTGTCAACACAGTGACAATGGAAGTGGGCGCCATTACATTTTTGCCAAAGTCATATGGTTTTCTTCCTGGACAAAGTAAAGGTCTGTGCTGTATCTTCTTCAGCCAACCTCCAACTCCAGTAGTAAGAGAGGGTCGTGGCAGTGTAGCCCCCACTCTCTGTAGCACAAAGGGCATCAAGGGGCATTCTGGATGTGCCAGGCTCCTGATTACAAGACTCATATACACAGTGTAAAAGACCATGAAATCTGGCTGTCTAGTTTTTTATGCTAGTTTTACTAGCTATACTTATCGGATCAGATGGCAGATGAAAATCCAGACATCAGAATTATACATAGCTGCTGATCTAATGGACGCAATCTGTAAGCTTAGCTTGGGTAGCTGATCTGCGTACCATCACATCTGTTCCAAATCTAGTCAGGTGACTTATTTAACAGAAAAAAAAAATGTAATAATAGCACTAAAATGGGAAAGGCATAACAGAAAAGATCATGATAGGCCTAAGCATTAATATGGTCCAAGTGTTGATGTTGCAAGGACATAGTATTATACTGGAATTTCCCAAACACCATCATGACAAAGGAAACTATTCCCACCATGCTTTGTTTGGCTTGAAGTAACTTCTGCATTGTTTATAGATAAGGAGAAATACTGTCCAATTTCTGCTTGGTTTTCTGAAATCCTCTCTGCTTTATCTTCTTTCCCACAGATTAGGGTTTTATCATGGTGTCGCCTTTCTTTAGAACAACTATTGCAGTCAGTTATTTCAACAGAACATGCGAGTAACTACTACAAAAGCTTAATGTCCATGTTTTGAAGTTGTGTATCACTGTAATAAGGTCACCGATATAGTATACTGTAGCAATTGATGCCTTTTATACTTACTGGAATGTCTTTTGTTTCAAGGATCAGAGATGGTACATGTCTGGCAGACAGCGCTACTCTAATAGAGTCTCTTATCCTCTTTACCAGGTCATTGCCAAAAGTGTAATTATTGTTCATTTTAAGAAAGAGAATCACTCGCTCTTCTCCATCTTTGTTGTACTGGGGAATACACAAGCTGTCTGATACCTCCACAAAGGATTCAACTGCAACAAGAAAAATAATTAAATCAATAAATGACCAACATCAAGTCTGAATTCATCTTTTAACCACTTGCCCTCCAGAAGATTTACCCCCATTCCTGACCTGACCATTTTTTGAGATATGGCACTGTGTTACTTTAACTGACAATTGCAACGCTCTACATAAATTGACTTTATGCCCCACAAATAGAGCTTTGTTTTGGTGGTATTTGATCACCTCTGTGTTTTTAATTGTTTGCGCTATGAACAAAAAAAGACTGACAATTTTGAAAAAAAAAACTATTTTTTTTTACGTATTGTTATAAAACGTATCCAATAAAAAAAATTTTTTAAATCAAATTTCATCATAAATTTAGGCCAAAATGTATTCTGATACGTCTTTGCAAAAAAAAAAAAAAAAAAATACTAATACATGTAAATTAATTGGTTTACATGAAAGTTATAGTACCTACAAATGGCGGTATATATACTGGAATTTTTTTTTTCTAAAATACTAGTAATGGCGGTGATCAGTGACTTATAGCGAGACTGTGATGGGCATTCTGACACTGGGTGGGAACTAACTGCCACTGACATCCCCAGTGACACAAATACAGTGATCAGTGCTAATAAAAAGCACGGACACTGCACTAATGACACTGGGCAGCAAGGGGTTAACATCTGGGGCGATCAAAGGGTTAACAGTGTGCGTTTCACATTATGTGCTATGTGTGGTGTACTAGGAGACATGCTGCTTTGTATTTCTCAGCTGTGCAGAGAAATACAAAGCAGCATGTGCTTGCTGACAGGAGAGAGACTTGTTGTTTACACACAGGTCTCTCCCCTGTCAGCTTTCCCCGACGATCACCAAGTGCCGGCCGGCAATTCAAACATCACGTGTTGTGAGATCAACCAAACCAACCATAGCAAAAGCCTGTCTATCTGGATATCATTGTCTGAGGTGGAAAATAGACTTCATTGGGTTTCCTCTAATGAGAAACTGACAGTGAGACTTACTGACACGATGGCCAAATTCCTACCAGTGGACTTCAGCCATCGTCTGATGAACCTATCTGGTTGATATACTCTGCCCCTTGGGCTTCATTTAACTTCCCTTGATTCTGAGGCACCCACGCTATCCCCCCCCCCTTTTTCTGCTTCCTCCTCTGTCTCTCTTTCATTAGCTCTGTTGTCTTTTCGTTAATAAAAAATACACGCACACACAGAGTTCAAGTCAAACTCAAACTGTGAGTTTTACTTTTACAGGTATAAAAAAGGGATGCTAGTGTGGCGGTACTACATGCAGAAGTAAGTGCCAAGTGTGTCCTATTACTGACAGGCCAATGTTCATATTTGCCAGCACACCACAAATCACCAATGTCATCCAAAAGGCTATTTTTATTCAAGAATGATCACATCACAAAGGAAAGGTGCAACGTTTCGGAGCTATCACATGCCTGAAGGGGCCCTGTGTGGCTTCAAAATGTTGCACCTTTCCTTTGTGATGTGATCATTCTTCAATAAAAAGAGTTTTTTGGACAACATTGGTAACCCGTGGTGTGCTGGCAAATATGAACATTGATCTATGATGGTTCCAGTTTCCAGCTGGAAGTTGCTGCAGCACCCGTTACTTTTGAGCCTGATCCAGGAATGTGTGTTTTGGGAATATTACCATATACTATTACTGATAGGTGGCACACATGTCACAGGCCACTCCAGAGACCGTTAATCAAGATGGCAGAGAACAGTGTAAGTGCATGCATGGAACAGCGCGCGGTGATGAAGTTTCTTGTGAACGAAGGTGTGAAACCTGTAAATATTACCAGAAGACTTCAAGCACAGTACAGTGATGAGATGGTCAGCCGCAGTAAGACATTTGAATGGTGTAAACGTTTCAAAGATGGCTGTATATCCATCATTGAGGATCCCAGCCATGATGGTACCCAGCCCACAGCAGTCATTCCTGTGCACATTCAGCACGTGAAATGCCTGATCCTCGATAATCAATGCTTAACCTGTCGTGAAATTGCACAAGAAACTAATCTTTCCGTGGAAACGGTAAACACAATGATGATGAATGAAGCAGGCTGTCTTGGGATGGTTCATGCGTACTGACAAATCTTTGTATGCCAAAGCTTTCCAGGCATCAGTTAAATGCTGGGATAAGTGTATAAATGTAGCAGGGGAGTATGTTGAAAAATAAATGCAGTTTCTATTCCATGAAATTTATTCTTTTATTATATAAACTCAAAAGTTCCAGTTTGACTTAAACGCCCCTCATTCAGATTATAAACACACACTGAACAAAAAGAAATCTCACTGCTCTTTGTACTAAAAACCCAATAGTTATACACAGCACCTCTAACAGGCTAATATACATAGATATGTACAAATCCATGCATGCATTACTGGCAGTGTATGATGTATAACACTGTTGTAAGCAATAAGCAGTGGAAGTAAAGTTCCCTTGAGTTCAATAGGCCCACTGAGCACTCAATACAATACAATTCCTTGAATTTCAATTATTTTTGCAGTGGAGTTTAATTAGAGCACCTTACTTTAAAATGGATGCATGTGATCCAAACTTAACATTACTCACTGCAACTTTCCGTGAAATTTAAAGAACATCCTAAATTTACTTTGTTTCGTTCTTTTCTTTCTAAACTTTGTAATTTGTTGCTTATTCTGCATATATTTCGGACTGCACTGCAAATACATCACAAAGAGAAAAAGTAACCTCTTTCACAGACTCTAAGAGGCACCCTATGGATACCAAGAGTAACTTAAAGCATATATCTAGGCAGATATAAAACATGAAAATTCATGCAGCTTTGTATTCATTAATACATATCTAGACAATCTAAAACATGAAAATTCATGCAGCTTTCTATTCATTTATTCATCAATAAGTGTGTCTTTTAAATGCAACTATGTGAATTTAATTTGGTAACAGCTTCTTCCAATCCACTGTATAACATAGTACAGACTAGGAGAGGAAGAAGTAGCTCAAGAGCCAGTCAACTGTACTGCAGTATGCATGTGCTAACCCGGGTTGATATGTATGTGTTCATAGGACTGAGCAGATTGACAGAAGGCTGAGCTCATCAGTCTGCTGCTTCATCTTTCACTGTCCAGTCACAGGCTGGTGGAAGGTCAACACCTGTAAGGAAAATCATGGCAGACAAGAACTGTGCAGTGTGGCAGGTAAGTACATCTCAAAACTGGATGTTGGGCTGGACTTCTGGTTAGGTAACGTTAGACCTACGACAGTAGCTTTCACAGTATTTTCAGCCATTCTCAACCAGGGTCCTTCTAAGGTTGCTAGGGGTCCCTTGAACTGTGACTGACTGACCTCCCCATCTGATGGTGCCTGCATAGTTTCAGGGCCAACACCACTTGGCAGAACTAGAGGCATGACACCTTTTTAGCTGTCTGTAGGGGGAGCATTAGGACCTCCCCCCACTTACCATCAATGAAAAGGGCATTTTTCGCAATTGCCTCCTCATGCATTTGTTTTAGAAGGGGTTTCTTGAATACTACAAATTATTTCAATGGTTCCTCTTATGTTAGAAGGTAAAGGCTGATTTAGAACCATTTTGTGAAGTTCAGATATTTTATTTTGACTATCCCCGCTCTCCCACACCCCCTACTTGGTTATCATAGATTTTCCACTAAAACGTATTTAACTGACTGCTGGGGTTGATTTACTAAAACTGGAGAGGGAAAAATCTGGTGCAATTCTACATAGAAACCAGGTTTTATTGCCAAAGCTCAATTGAACAATCTGAGGTTAGAAGCGGATTGGCTACCATGCACAGCTGTGCCACATTCTGAGTGCTCCAGTTTTAGTAAATCAACCCCTGTATCTCATTCAGAAGTAAACGAACAAAGGAACATCATCACACTGTAGGTTTACTACTGGTTGCCAATGCAAATAAACTTACACAGAATCTTTGCCCATCATCCTCCATGAGAACAAACAAACAAATTTTGGTGGAGGTCTTCTTTCAATGTTCTTGCTCCATTAGCTTGCTCTGCATTATGCTGTTACTGCAAGCATCTGTGTTAACGTTTCTATGCTTGGCATCCCTGCTACTTGGAATGCAGTTGCAGCTGAATGAGGTTTTTTCCAATAATGACTGTGTGACCTGATCTATCCTCTAAGCCCCAGTAATAAGCAGCAGTTAATGTCTGATGGAGAAGAGTAAAAGGGAATTGGAGGGGAGCAGTGGGAGTCTAATCTGTATCTATTCAGGAGACGTAATAATGGCTTTGTTAGTATAGCCAGTCAGCAGCCGAATGCTGAAAATGTGTTTAATTAGCAAGTCCCAGAAGTGAACTTCTGCATTACAAATCTTGGCTTCACATTAGTCATTTCTTCCCACTTAAAATTCTGACAGTTTCTTATTTTACAACCTCCTCTTTACCATTATGTAGAAAATTAACCTATTCCCTGGCTGGAGGGGTTGTGAAAATATACATAATTCACTTCACAGAAACTGGATGATCATTTACCTATATTGTAGATTTCTGAGCTTCCAAATCGTACCCCGTTAGGATTCAGAGTGCCATCACTGGAAGATAAAAAGGGATTAGCAGGTATGTACGTCTGCTGTCCTACATCGTATTTACGAATTATCGTAAAAATGTGTAACTAAATATAGCCTTGTATTCATTAATTCTGCAGCAAAGCAAGGTAGGCAAAACCGAAGCAGTGAGAGAGTATGAGCCAGATTTACTATGACATTACAGCTCCCTGCTGTTCAGAGGTAGAGGTAGCACTGCATCAATATACAACACAACGTACGACCATGTGCAAAGTTTAAACTGAATTGTGCTCCTATGGCCCATGCACAGTCAATTCTGAGTTGAATGGTTCCCAGCAATATCCAACCCTTTGCTACAAGCCCAGACTGTCATGGACACACCCCCTGAGCTCAGCGTCACTATGCAGCCTGGGATCACAATGTATAGCTGCAGATGTGAAAACATTTGTACTGTTTCACCATCGGACAAGGGGAAAAGAGGTGGTGATACATGACAGAATGCATTTAAATGCAAGGTATCTACACTATAATTTGTTTAGATTTCAATGCCGGATGCAGAGTAGGGTTGGTAACTGGAATTTGGCTTTAATAGTAGACACCTGTATTTGCACTGGGAATGTAACCACTTAAATTGGCAACATGTCTGAAATCTTCCTTGCATTTTATTCTAGTTTAAAGTATAACGAAGGGTCTTTTCACAATGCGGTGGCCTGCATTTTTCTGCACTAGAAGAATGCCTGTCACCAGTAGGACACATAGAAAACCAATTGTTTTCTGTGTGTCCTATTTACACTCCAATGCAGCCCTATGCTGCACTGTAGTGATCCATGATAAAATGCAGACATGGTGCAGTTTATTGCAAAAGTCCACAGCTTGAGCTTGCTGCACAGTGACATGAATGAAGAAGTGGAAGTTTTCTGCTCCAAAAAAAAAAAAAAAAAAGAAGAAGTTTAGTGTGCAGTAGCTGTCCGTTACTGTGTGAACAGACTCTAAAAAAAAAAGCACCTAAAAAAGGTCAACAAGGAAGTTTTTTTAGGGCCATCAATCCAGCACCTGAGAAAATCAAGACCAATTGGGTTATACAGGTACAAAGAGAGAGGGAGAAAATGATAGATGTACTTTCTCATGCCAGCACACAAGGTAATGACTTACAGATTTTCAATCTCTTGGATATGGTGTTGACAGATGACCACACTGCAGTGCTGAAAAGGGGACCATCTTTCATACCCGCACAGGTTTTCAATCTGTTCGAGTGGTTGAAAGATATCAATCTTTTTGCTAGAAAACTAGCTTTAAAAGAAGGAATATAAAGACAGCCCCACTCAACCTACCAGGTTGTGTACATCTAAAGTGATTGAAGCACTTAGAGTGCTGGAATGCCTACAAAGTGAAGGTATCGGTGGTAGTGATGAAGTGTGTGGACCCTTCTCCATGTTTAAACCTAGGAATGATCAAACTCCACCTTTCCCTCATGGTAGTTACATCCAATTGTTTGTGAAATTGGGAGAATAGACATGAACAGGGCCCTTATTCTTTCAATCTCTTATGTTCTGAGTGGAAAGCTTTGGAAGAACTATGGAAGAACAAAGAGCTGATTATTAAATTAATCGACAAGGGGGGCAATATTGTTTTGATGCATAGAGCATTTTATTGGAAAATGTGATATGATATTCTGATCAATGAAGACCATAATTAAGTTCTTTGTAAAGAACTGACTAATAAGGATAACTCTCAATTGGTCTAGATATTTAAGTGAGGAATAGATGCAGGGGTACGCTCTAAAAATGTCTGTTCTTTCATCTTAAACAATCACCTGGTAATTGTAAGTTTTTATGCCCTCCCAAAAGTGCACAAGCACCAGGAAAGACCTCCAGGTCTCCCAATAGTATCGGGGAATCAGAAACTCACTGAGGGGGCCAGCAAATATATAGATTACATCTTACGCCCTCATGTCTACAGTTTGTCATCATACATTGACATTATGGCAACATCCGACATGACTTGGGTTCCAAAGCGTGTAAATATTTCCTGGATTTTAGAGGTGCAGCATTTCAGAAACATAATGACTTTGTTTTCCAGCTTTTACAGTTTGTCTTAGAGCATAACTTTTTTGTTTTTGATGGGAGGATCTATAGACAATGCAAAGGCACTGCAATGGGTTCATCCTGCGCACCAACATATGCAAATTTATTCGTGGATTGGTAGGAATGCACCAGAGTATTTTCAGAATAATTTGAGCAATATACTATGGGGCTGATTTGCTAAAGGCAAACAGGCTGTGCACTGCAAGTGCACTTGGAAGATCTGAGGGGAACATGCAAGGAAAATAAAAAAATGCAATTTTGCTTGCACATAATTGGATGAAATAAATCAGCTGAGCTTTGCCTCATTTCAGAATATCCCCTTGGGTCTAAAGTAACTGCACTTGCAGGTGCATGTGCAGTGCACAGTATATTTACCTTTAGTAGATCAACCCCTATTTGTATTTTACTCTGGGTGCGCTTCATCGATGACAAATTTATCCTGTGGCAAGGCTCAAATGAAAAGTTTGATGAGTATGTAGCTGAGCTGAATAAGAATGACATTGGGATGTATTTTACAAGTGAAATCAATCATAATTGTATCAACTTTTAGATCTCAAAATCACGAGAAATGAGAACGGTATTATTGAAACAACAATTTACTGCAAACTCACATCTGCTAATCTGCTCAACTGGGATGGCCAGTATCAAACACCATTGAAAAGACAATTTATGAGAGCAAAAAAAAATTGCTCAACAGGCAAAGCATTTCAGGCTGAAAGTCTTCATTTGGTGCAAAGATTTAATAGACATGGTTATATCCGTGATATAATAAAATCATATATTAAAAAGGTAAATACAGGCCTTACTCAGAAAAGGCAAGACACAAAATAATGTAGGAGTGAGAATTATTAGCACTTTTTCTAATCAATCTGGTCAGATCTTTAACATCATTAAAAAATATTGCAATGTTTTAAATAATGATAAAGACCTTTCCAAAATTCTCATAAAGAATCCCATGATTACTTACAGATGAGGAAGAAATCTTAGAGACATGTTAGTGCATAGAGAAGGTGCCAAGGTGCCAAAAAATGTCATTTAAACATTGCTACCTGATAGACCGCAGGCAAGCCATAAATGTGGACATTGCAAAGCTTGTCCCTTTATCCTCACTGTAAAAGAATTCGTAAATCCAAAAAATCGAGTGATCATAAATATACCTATAATTGCAGTACTGAGGGAGTCATTTACGTTATGAAATGTCCTTGCCCAATCTTATATGTGGGCAAAACCATCCACCAATTTAGGTGTAGAGTATTGGAACACATGAATGACATCTCACAGAAAAGGGACATGTCCTTAAAAAATATGGAGGAAAAACTGAAGTTTTAAAATTTTGGCTAGTTGATCAGTTTCAAATGTGTCCAAGAAAGGGGGACCTAGATAAACATCTTTTGAAACTTGGAGCCAGATGGATTTTCCGTCTGAACTCACGCTCCCCCCATTGGCTGAATGAAGGCTTCACTTTTCTGTATGCGATTGAGAATCCCCGGCCATTGCTGTCTATTTGCCTCATTTAAGTGTATACTTTTACCTTGTATGTAAAACATATGTAAATTGTGGAAGGTATAATTGGATTGAATGATATGATAAGATTGTAGGATCCAATTACCAAAGCTAGGAAAAAAATCACATCATATATAATGGGGAATGTTTGCAGGCGACTATGTCTGTCCTCATCTCTGATGTCCACAAGATGGCGATCCGTAGTGCCTTTAATTGAGCATGTGCAGTATTACAAGCATCTAGATGGCACATGTTGAATGACTCAATGATGCACACAATGACATCATGCTGAAGTTGATGTCATCACGTCACGTGTGTGGTGGCCATTTTGACTGGCAAGTCTATAAATAGGAGAACTAACAAATGGACGCCATCACTACTTGCCATGTGACTTCACTTTTTCTTTTGCTCACCATTTATTTTATTTCATTCACCTCTGACGAAGCTCCATTTTGAAGGAGTGAAACGTTCAGTTCTTTGTGAGCTGGGAGCACTTTCTTTTTGGATCACGTGTACTTTTTATTTTCCTACCCTAATATTTTTTTGGGGGGTAAGGATTACCCTAGTTTATTGGGACATAGATGTGATCATCTCTAGGGAGGTATTTTTGTGAATATGTGGAATATGGGGCCTCTTCATTAGTGGTGTGTTGTATCCCCATGGATGGATATATCCGCATAACATATCAGACAGATGGATCTCACCTTCTGATATCAACAGAAATATAGTACATTATTGGAGTGAGAAAGAGATTAGATTACCAAACCTCATCTGAACATCTGGATAGTGGATACAGACACAGGATCAAGTCAAATGCATATAGGGCCCTTTAGCCATTTGCCTACTGGGCACTTATACCCCCTTCCTGGCCAGGTCAATTTTCAGCTTTCAACGCTGTCGCACTTTGAATGACAATTGTGCGGTCATGCAACACTGTCCTGTATGAAATTTTTGTCATTTTTTTCACACAAATAGAGCTTTCTTTTGGTGGTATTTACTCGCCACTGGGTGTTTATTTTTTGCGCTATAAACAAAAAAAAGAGCGAAAAAAAGTTTCTATTATAAAAATTTGCAAAGAAGTAATTTTTCTCCAGTGATGTGCGTTGATGAGGCTGCACTGATAGGCGTATTGATGGGCACTGATAGACGGCACTGATGAGCTGGCACTGATGAGGCGGAATTGATGGGCACAGACTGGCGGCGCTGCTTGGAACTGACTGGTGGCACTGCTGGGTGGCACTGATGGGCACAGGTGGATGGCACTGATGGGCACAGGTGGGCGGCACTGGTGGGTGGCACTGCTGGGCACCGATCATCAGGGCACTGATCATCAGTGCCCTGATGATCGGTGCTGATCCCTCCTCTGACAACTGCTGGTTCTCAGCAGTACTTTCCTTACGCTGTGACAGCGCGAGGAAAGTGCAGCCAATAACCGGCAATTGCATTTCCTGGTGTTCAGTGTGTCAATGGACACAGCGTTCATGGACATGGACACAGCAATCACAGAGATCGCCGGATGCGACCCCGGGAGCGCGTTCTGGGAGGACGCGCCCTCCCAGAACTGGCCGGCTGTAGTGAAGCCGTCATTCGGCTATCTGCGGTCGGCAAGTGGTTAAGGAAGAATATCTTGTATCCAAGAACAGTTTGAGATTCACTTATACAAGTGAGTTTTGCGAGAGCAAAAATACAGTATATAACACTGGTGAAAACAGTATTTGGACAATATTTCTGACTTGAGTATATAAAGTCATATCTTTTCCCAGGGCTTTTTTTTGCTCAGAGAATAGGCACAGGAACTCCCCACATTTTAAGTCACCCCTTGTCTGTGCCCCCTACCAAACTCCAAGCACAGTTTCTTTGTTCCACCCCCTACCCACCTCCCAGTACTGCCCGTATTAGAGCATATAGAACCAAGTATCATTTTACGATGCTCAGTAATTTGCATGGAATGTGTTAACAGGAGAAGCAGTAAAATACAGTAGCTCCCTTGCAGCCAGAAACAATTGATCCCCACACAGTAGACCCCCGCTCAACAAAATACCACCCCCAGTAACCATAGACCCCCAGCAGTAACAAAAGATCTCCCAGCAGCCACCATCAATAGGCCCTCCAGCAGCCAGCAACAATAGACTCCTCCCTCAACAGGAGATCCCGCCCACCAACTGCCCCCCTCCCCCTGCAACAATAGACCAACATGCAAAAATGTATTCCCCACAGTGACAATAGATCCCCCAGCATAAATAGACCCTCCAGCACCCCTTGCTATTATATACATTCAGTGCTGGAGGTGCCGGAACTGCGTTCCCCCGCATTTCCCGCAAAAAAAAAAAAAACGAGTCTTTTACTAAGGTTGCATTCATACCTCTATTTTGTATGTTATGGCTGTGCTGCATTAAATTAAAAAAAAAATGAATGAATGAAAAATAACTGCAAGTTTAAAACTGCAGCGCAATCAGAAAATTTTACTTACCATAATTTTCTTTTCCAGACAAGATCCATGGTAGCATATGTATGGGTAAGCCTCCGCTTTCTCTCTATCTGGATAGAACCTTTAATTCAGAAATGTAAGCCTCTACTCAGCCCTGGTGCTGCTTAACTAGCTCATTCTGACTGGGAAGGTTAATATGCTGCCATGGAGCTTATCAGGAAAAGAAAATTACGGTAATTTTCTGATTTTCCTGACAGCTCCATATGCATACATATGGGAAACAATTAAAAATCAACAGAGGGGAATGCTGAAAAAAAATGTAATTAGGCAGATACTGAGTAGACAGAGTTTGTCCAAAAATGGACAGTGGTTAGAGCAGCCAGCTCTACACAATAATGCATAGCAGAGGTGTAAACAGAGTCACCTGGGTGGTGTTAAAGGATCATTTCACCTTTAGTCACCTGTTACATCCATATTCAGGGTGTAACATGCTACAGATGCCCTGGCCTCTGCTCCCCTCGATCCCCAGTTTTGACAGCTAGCGGGGGGAAATGTCACAAACTAAAAAAAAAAAAAAAATAAGTATTTTAGGGATCTGGGTATAGTGGGAAAACTACTGACAGCCTTTTCCTCTGTCGGCTTGTAGTTCTCGATGAACTACCAGAGTGCTGTTGAGCTCTCTACTGTAAGTAGTTCATTGAGCTTCCTGGCATTGTGTAGCTGTCTGCCATTTTTCCAATACAGGTAGGTAGTTACACAGACAGTCTGCAGGACCATGGCATTACACCCAAGATCTGCTGATCGTGGGTGCAATTTTTTACAGGCTCCTAACAAAAAAAAAATATGTATTTTTTATTTTTCTGTAAAGGTGAACTTATCCTTTAAAAAGGTATTATCAGGAGTAGGGAGGGTGAAGCCTTACCCAAACATATAAAGCCATGGATTTATCAGGAAAGCAATGCTGCAGCACAGTTATGAGAATGTAGCCTTAGTCATGTGTATTTTTATCAGTGTGATGTCAACCTTCACCCACCTGCGTCCCAGCATGACGATGCCTCCAGTCTTAGGGTTGATTTTACAGTAGTCACCATGAGCCCAGACACCTAGAACACAAAGTAATAAGGAGTTCATTCTGTACTCAGTTCAGCTCTCAACAATGAGGAGATCTATTTTTATAAATGACCATTTTTAATGAGAAATATTTATTCTGACACTTCCGCCTAATTATAGATCTTCTCTGACAAATTTTTCTTTTCATTTTTTTTATTTTTATTTTTGACAATACACCACATAATCTACTTTGTAGATTAGACTTTGCCAATAAAGACTTTCTGCTGTGTCTGCGGTTTCCTTTATTAGTTTTACAGAGAATTTAGACCACTCTAAGCCTGGCGCAGTGCATTATGTTACCTTTCTTGATTGACACAGTAACTTTCCTTTTTGAACTTGTACAAAAGAAATCCAGGCAAAAGCAGAGTGACATGTAGCAGAAGAGAAAGGATTCATTTCACCTTCACTTTCACTTTCTATCACTACTGCTCTCTGCACTGCTATGCTGAGTAAGCCTGTATATGCTAAACAATATACAGTATAGGAGATGTGACAATGATGGAAGACAGCCAGCTTGGTTCGATGATCCATATAACCTAGAATTGAACCCCAATATGCCAACAAGTTTCATGATGTTTGTTAGTGGTGTGCTATTATTTTACATTAACAGAGCAGCCACAATAGTCTTTCTGCATTTAGCAAGAGAAGAGTTTCTTTAAATACCCTCTCAACCACACTACTTTGTCATTACAGAAGGGCATGGAGAGAAGAAGAACTATTGGATACTTAGCATGCCTAACAGGGTAAAATCATTTGCTTTCTATTTTTGTTGCTGCTACAACAGCGTTATCAATATCAGGTCAATACCTATCTTTCAAAGTGAATCCAAAATACCCTCAAAAGTTCCCTCAAGAGACACCATCACCTTTCTCATACATCTCTTTGGAGAACCTAAAGCAACTGAATCGGTTTATTAAAAAGGACAAGCAACAGACTTGCTGCAGCAATCCTCAGGCGGCATCTGATTGGAAAACCACATGACAGAATATAGTTGGATTTTGATATCAGCTTCTTAACTGCCCTGTTCAATAATTTGAATGCCATGGACACACTGGAGTTTTAACAGAAAGAGTTCCCCAATGTTTCTTGCCAGACAATAAATAAAATAGAATATTTGTCTTAAAACAGTTTTTTGAAATCCTTTTGATATATACTTTTAACTTACCTTTGTTTTTTTTATTTTATTTATCCTTCTAATACAGGGCTCAGAATTTCAAGTCCTAAGCTACTAGCCAGGACTTAAGGAGTTACTCGCCACCAGTTGCCCCACCCAACCCCTACCCTGCCCTGCCCCTAAACACACCCTCGTAAATTATCTCATGAAATGACACTGTTAAATGTTTTATGCAGAGTAAAGTTACCAAAATACATATGAACAACAAAATTTCTCTATTAACATAGAGCAATGTAAAAATCTCCTCCATCCCATGTCCTCCTACTTCTCTTTCCCATGAATGGCAAGGGTGATATCTCGGTCACCACTACAATGATAGAGATGTCATTTTTTCAGGCGGTGATTCCCTTCACTGCAAAATGTAATCCTAGTGGCTATAGAGCCACTAGATTACTTTTACAGGCGGTGAAAGCGCATCAGCTTCGTTGATCACAGTGAGAACTGATCTTGTTCCATCCACTGTGTGATGTCAGAAACCGGAAGCAACAAGGATTTCATCACTTCCGGTTCAGCTACCAGATTGTGAAGCAGCAGATCAAACTGATCTCTGTTTGATCTGCTGTTTTGGAGACCAGAGGAGAGCTCTGGGGTCTCTCTGCACACTCCCTACTGAGCCAGGCATATAGTTCTGTAATCAGAAAAGCTCATGCTGCCCTCTAATTGGGGAGGTCTGGGTCTAACTCCATAGTGGGCTGTCAGACCTCTGCAGAGACTCTTTGTCTAGAGAAAATAAAGGTATACTCTGCAGCATACGGGCATTGGACTTTTTTTTATTTAGGTTGTGGCTGTGGAAAGTCTGAAGGACTTTCTTTGATATTGGGATCATTTCTACTTCTACTTATTTGGGACTGATGCTTAAATTTAGCTAATCCCTGAGCATTTCATGTATATTTAATTAGGCACTTTTGTTTTAGTGATTATACACTTATATTTGCTATTTTCTGTGTTTAAATCTTTGAGGATTTCATGCACATGCTTTTTTGAATATGAGCGTGATTAACCTTATGTACTAAGTTAATGGTTTATTTTATAGCACTGCACGGTTTGGTTTTTCATTTCTGACATACTTTGTACCCTAAGTATTGTGCTAGCTGCTTTTTTTAGATTATTTTGGCCTTAGCTTGGACATTTTCCTCTTTTTACTTTTTTAGTAATACCAATACCAGGTCAAATTCAGGTACTTACACTGCTTGCACTGAAAATACATTTAAAGCTGAAGTTTTGTACAATCTTGGGATACACACACACACACACACATATACACACACACACATATATAAATATATGTATTTATTAGGTATGTGTAACTGTGTATATCTCATTACCTGCAGATGGCTGCTTCTGCTCAAAATGCTCTGTCCCCTTCCCCTACGGATACTACCCTGAACAACTGTCTTCCCAAACAGTAAAAGGTTAACAGCAGTGAATCCTAATCAAGTTGTGCCACTTGCCCACCACCTGCCTCCTCTGCCATACATAGAACTTGCCTTACTATACTCCCATATGCAAATATAGGAGTTGAATGACTGCAAATCTTCTACCCGTTCACAGAACTTGATGCATCATGGAAGTGTAGTAAAATGAGTTCTATGAATGACAGCGGAGGCAGGAGGAGGTGGGAAAATGACACAACTTTCCTGATTAGGAGCTGCTACTGTTAACCTTCACAGCACCGGAAGACAGATGCTCACAGCAGTATCTGGTGACTGCAAAAAAGAAACCACACTGAGGATTTTGAGCAGAAGCAGCCACTTGTAGGTAATAGGATACACACCATTACAAATAACTAATGTGTAAGGTGCTATGTCCCAAAAAAAATGATTAATATTTAGCTTTTATAATACATTATTAATTACAGAGTTGAATTAATTTGAACCTTTTATATCTTCCTGGCATTCAGCTTTAAACTACACATTTTTATATGAAAAAAAAAGTACTGCACGGTTTCTTTCTCTGCAAATCCCCATTTGAACAAGTACATTTTATATATATATATATATATATATATATATATATACACATACATATATATACACATATATATATATACACACACACACACACACACACACACACACACACATACATACATACACACACACACATATACATATATACATATATATATATATATATATATATATATATATATATATATACATACACACACATATATACATACACATATACACACACACACACACACACACAGAAAAAAATTGTACTCGGATCAATTTTAATGAACATTGCATTTATGAAGAGATAAAAAAAAAAATGCACCCAACTGCTGTTCGTTTTTGTTCACAATACTCTAATAAGATCTCATTACTCTGGTATGGTAGACAATGTATAATTCAAAGGCCGATATGTATATACTGGTTCATTAGGTACTTTATAACGTATTAAATGCATTTTTCCCCAAATGACTTTTGGTCAAACAAAACCACCTACTGCCTATATGTGCTTTCTAATTACAGCTGATAGCTTGTGGTTCAAGTATGTGTTTATTCATTAACATTGCTCTGTCTTAATGCGGTACCTGGGAATTTGGAGAAGTATGCTTTCTGGTATTTGCTGCCATCTTCATCGTTCCAGAAGTGTGTGGGCTGAGATGGGAGCGGAATTAAGCACACTAGTTCTCCGCTTTCCCCCCACACTGCTTTTCCTGAAGAAAACAGAGAAACGTATGAACATCTATCTGCATAATTAGATGATAATGTTAGCATTACGATGTGTACAATAAGAGCAATACATATTATTCCCAAAGTAAATGTATCTTCGCTTAACAGCACTAAGGCCCCATGTACATGGGACACTTCTAAACGATGGAAACTGACTGCTGGAAAACGTAGGTTAAAAAAGGTCTGTTTATGGGCGTTTGCCTTTAGAAGCGTTTTTTAAAGATAAGCACAGGAGAGCCTCCCAAATGCCCAGAATTCACTGAAAAGTGGTAAATTATTAACTATTTCAGACTGTTTCAGAGAAATACAGAGAGTAGAAGCAGAGACAGCAGTATGTGTTGAGATAATTAGGTGTGAGTTGCTCACCCTTTTGTTTCCAAGGGTGGGAAAGGTGTCTGGTGGAGTCATTAAGGTCACCTGGCAGGGGGTCTTCATGAGGAATTTGAGGTGTGAATGGTCATTAACATATCTTTTATTTCCAGGGGTGGGAGAGTTCTGAGGTGTAAATTGGTCATTACAATGTGTGACAAGATTGGTAAGAACATCCTGTGTTCAGTGTTTTGTCCATCTGAGTACCTTTTTATGATGAAAAAAGACTCTACACAGCATTGGGAACTGGAAGAGTTGAAAACAATTTTCAAACGCAAAACGTGATTTAGCCGCGTTTACAAGCGGTTTGAGTTTGAAACGCTGCTAAAATCGACTGCTGAACGCAAGTTTTCTGCGTTCAAAAAACGCTGTAAACTCAGATGACTGTAAACGAAGATGTGTACATGGACACATAGGAAAACATTAGGGTGAGTTCAGGGGCTGCTGAAAAAAATGCTGAACAGCTCCTAAATGTGAGTTTATCAGCTGCAGTGTACATGAGCCCTAAGAAGTGCCAGGAGTCCTCAGTAACCAACAAATAATATAGTATAGAGTGGCGGGTGAGTGTGTGCTGATGGGAGGAGAAGATTAGTGAACTCACTTCTTTGCCCTGCATTAGAAAAGCTCAGGTTCACTTTAAGTCACTTCACAATATTGACCAAAACCCATTTTTGTATGGCTGACACGAACTACACCACACAATTACCCTTCATGTATTGCCACTGTAGTCCCATTATGGAGTATATTGAGAAAAGACACTGCAAAAATCATGTACCATTGCCATATTATAAACTGATTGTTCAACTCCCACTTGTTTATGTACAGTATATATCCTCCTATAGTTGTATCCGACTTTCAGTAACTGTATGGGCCAGCTTTCTGAGCTTCACATCTGATACTTTTAAACCCAAACACAAAAATGTGTTAAATTGCAGCTTATCAATTCTTAGATTTGATGGTTGCATTAGTTCTTTAAGCTTTATTGTATTTTCACCCGGTGATTTGGCCAGTAAGCCTGTTATTTTTCAACCAAGCAAGCTGTCCTGCAGATGTAGCAGTCAGAGGGTTGAGACAAACCATTTAACACTGACAAGAGTGAATCTAACACTACCATCCCCAATGGTGCCCCTCTGCTCTTTCACCCAGAGTGGGGGCACTCTAATAGAAGACATGTGGTACTAGCCAGATCAGCAGGTGAAGATGGAAGAGGAAACAAAATCTGAAAAAAGGGAAACCTAGATTGTAAGCTCCAAGGAGCAGGGCCCTCCTATCCGTCTTGTATTGAACTGTATTGTTGCTGTATTGTCTCCCATTATATTGTAAAGAGCTGAGCAAACTGTTGGTGCTATATAAATCCTGTATAATAATAATAATAAAAAACCTAAAAAAAAATAATACACCTAAAAAAGCCACCACATCTTATGATTGGTAAGTTGCAATATATTACATTTTTGGTTCTGGGTTTAATACTGCTTTAAAGCACTTTTTCTATAAAATGTTATCGGCAGTTTGTTTGTAGGCAACTAGATCTTCCCTCAACCCTCCCCAATCACTGGGGTTTGTGATTGACAAGATGAATGTGAGAACTCACGTCCTAAGCCAATTTGTATACACATACCAGGGCGAATTTAGGAGCCAGTTAACAGATGACCATGTCTTTAGAGTGTGGGAGGAAACCGGAGTACCAAAGGGAAACACATGAAGACACAGGGAGTTACTCAATTAGCTGAACTGAATTTATTCTCTCTTGAGAAGAGGATATTAAAGGGGATATGAACAACATGTATAAATGCATCAGTGATTCATATAGTGAACTTGGTGTAGAGTTATTCACTTTAAGGTAATCACAGAGGACAAGGGGGCACATCGAGGAGATGAGATTTAACTTCCAAATACAGAAAGGCTTCTTCATAGTAAGAGCGGTGAAAATGTGGAATAGATTCCCTCAAGAGTTAGTTCTGGCCAGCTCAGTAGATTGTTTTCAAAAAGGCCTGGATTATTTCCTAGATACACATAGTATAACTGGATACTAATATTTATAGGTAATGCTGAACCAGGGAGTATCGGTTTGCTTCCTGAGGAATCAGGAAGGAATTTTTTCCCCTTCTGGAACAAGTTGGATCATGCTTTATTGGGGTTTTTTGCCTTCCTCTGAATCAACTCTGGGCATAGGATTGTGTATATAGAACTGTAGAATTTATTTTTCTCTTCTATTGGTTGAACTGGATGGACGTGTCTCTTTTCAGCCAGACTGACTACCGAATGTATTATGTAACTATATTACAAACCCCAAGCCGATAGCATCCTGGCCAATATTTTGTAAAAAAAAAAAAACCCAAAAAACACACATTTATAAAGCACAGTGGTGTGCTTTGGAATGTGCTTTATGCTCTGCTTGCTTCATGACTCAGGCAGAATGCCGTTCTTTACAGTGACCAGGGCAAAAAAAACTGGGTGGAGGTCAGTACAGTCATGTGATCTGTCAAAGCCATGTCTAGCCTCTCTTCCAGTCATGGAGTATTTTTTGTAACTTTGTGAGACACTGCAGGCTGAATAGCTGATAAAATGCAGGCACAGTGTGACCTAATCACTGTGGGGTCCAACAGAGAGCAGATAGTGACATCACCTCTATAAATAGGCCCTTTAATCAGCATTAGAACTGCATCAGTGTGCTTAATTTATTAAGACATGTTTGTGTGCTATGTAAATGTGGTTGGCATAAACATTTCTGATTCACAGATTGAAGGTTCTAAAGAAGACTGTTTAGTGTGACCCATTTAATTAAACGTATTCATTGCAACCTGGTATTAACACCTTCACAAGGAGTGGAATGGATTGACACAACAAACGCATAACTCTTACACTCTGTGTTGCTCTCTCAGGATGTTAACCACTTATGTGACTTGAGAGTCAAAATGGGATTTTAAGACAGTTCACAAAAATGAAAATCTTTTGTATGTTTTGTTTTATTGATCAGGCTGTGAAAAAAATAACGTACAGCATTTGAAAGAAAAATAGACAAAGTGTGATATTTATCTGTACGTTTCTGTATATGAACTCTGTAAGCACATTCTTATGCACGCACGCACACGCACGCACGCACGCACGCACACACACACACACACACACACACACACACACGTTCTAAAAACAACAAAAGAAGAGAAAACATTGATCATTTTAATTGATAATGTTTTTGCTTGATAAGATATACTCAAAGCTTTTAAAAGGGAAACCAATGGTTTTGTGGCAAAATATTTTTTAGACATTTTAAATAATTACAGTATTTTAGATCTGTTCTACAAATAAACATTTTAATACATGACAACTGATTCCCAAAGCACTGTGGGTTAGCTAAAGGCTAAAACATGTTGGATGTTGCTTGCTTGAAAGCTATGTTTGTGTGGTTGAAACCTTGGATTCAGCCATCTGATAAAAGGGTAAGCCATCCCTCTAACTCATCTGACTTGAACTATTAATTTCTCTACACAATAGGCTTCCTTTAGCAAAGATGAAAACTGAAAAGGTAATATTGTAAAAAATAGACTAGAGCTCCACCTGTGAGTTGCATAGAATGCTGAACAATCTTAATATTTTATATTTAAAGAAATATATATAAAATCCACAAGAAATTTCCTTTGGAGGGAATCTGCCATTGTGTATATATTCAGCTCCTACCGGTAGGAGTAAAACACAGAACCTCCGTTTTCAGGAAAGGCCTTACTGGAAGCATGCTGTATGCAATCCTTGTATTTGGGATTGAGGGATGTCATGCGCTGTCAGAGCTCTGCCTTGATGCAAATGCAAAATACTCCTCTCTCTAATAGCAGCTGATGGTCAAACACTACATGGAGGATATCAGAAGAGTGCTGGAATAACAGCTTGGTGCTTTAATGAAGAATTGCATAGAACAGGAGTTCAAACTGGTGGCCCTCCAGCTGTTGCAAAACTCTCATCATGCCTCTGCCTTTGGGAGTCATACTTGTAACTGTCAATCTTGCAATCCCTCATGGGACTTGTAGTTTAGCTACAGCTGGAGGGTTGCCAGTTTGACACCTGTGGCATAGATTATGATCCTAGATTTGGAAGTTTCCTGGGCACGCAGGAATCTTCTGGTGTCCACCCTAATGGGGTTTCATTTTAGTTCCTGTTTTAGTTTGATATTTCTGTCTTCAGATCAAGTTCTATTTAACCACTTGCCCTCCAGAGGATTTCCCCCCCTTCCTGACCATGCCATTTTTTGCGATACGGCGCTTTAACTGACAATTGCACAGACATACAATTTTGCACCCAAATGAAATTTACATCCTTCTTTTCCCCACAAATAGAGTTTTCTTTCAGTGGTATTACATCACCTGTGATTTTTTTATTTTTTGCACTATAAACAAGAAAAGAGACCAACAATTTTGAAAAAAAAAAACAATATTTTTGACCTTTTGATATAAAACATATCCAGTAAAAAAATTTTAAAAATCTAACTTCTTCATAAATTTAGGCCAAAATGTATTCTGCTACATGTCTTTGCTGAAAAATCCCAATAAATCTAAATTAATTGGTTTACGTGAAAGTTATAGCCTCTACAAATGGAGGTATATATACTGGAATTTTTATTTTCTTTTGTGCACCCCCTACCCGGGGATGCAAATCACGTATATATACACGTCACTTTGCCGCCCTGTAGCAGTATTTCTGCTATAGGGTGGAGGGCAACTGGTTAAATTCAGTAGCTGTAGGTAAATCTATTACTCTATTTTGTAAAACTATTTGTAATTTTACTTCTAATAAACTCTCCTAAAAACTCTGATTTCTCAACCTTTTGATTTTAGTTCCAATTGCATCCATTCATTTTCCAGGACTAGATCTGAGTAAGTTTTTTATTAAAGGCTTTATACCATTTTTGTATCACTTTAGTTGCATTTTGTTACCAGATGTCTTCAATGCTGTGAAAACAGCTACATTTTCATGATTCTTAAAGCTTTTAAAAGACAGCTATTCATACGGGAGTTGATCTGCATTTCTTGCAGTTTTTCTAACCATGCTAAAAAATTAACAATATCACATAATTACATAATGAACTTGGCTGTTCACAATATGTATTTGCAAAATGTATGTAGTAAACTACGCTTGAAAGCACAATAATCATAAGTGTTTTTAAAAAAGCCTGCATAGTACTATACACTCATTGTGAACTCTAGCTGGCTTGTTCATAAAGAGGGGGCAAAAATTCTGCTTGCAGAGGAACTTCATTTTTAGCTGTCCCATACCAAGGACATAGTACCAAATGCAGTCTCAGGATAGAAGAATAAGCTGGCATCATATCTATGGTTGATTGCAAACATCCATTATGGATTTGTGGGTGTCCCAGGAGCAGGTGAAGTTATTCTATCCCATGGTTGTCGAACCTAGGGTATTGAAGCCAGTGTGCAGCTTCTGGTAGAAGCTTAACTGGTCCCCTTTTCTAAAGGGACAGCTTCCTGGCATCATTTCTGATGTGTATTTTAAGATCACATACAACTGCTAAATACCTTTTAGAGAAAAAAAACATTTAAGCATTTAAGAGTGGAAATTCATCAACAGCTCGATGAAGCGTAAGTCATTTTTATACTATCATCCATATTTTTGGCTACTCTGTGCATATAAAGTTTGATTCTTTTTGAGTGGTTCAATTTATTACAAGTAGTTCTTTGTCCAATTATTTTTTTGTAATTGGCTGTCCTATATCTGACATCAACTAAAACTGAGGAGTAAAAAAATCTCGGAGCACAGTTTACCTCCAGCTACTCTACTACCAAACCTTAAAAGGGATTGTATAGCGGTTTTGTATATATTCCTCCAGTTTATTATGGTCAGGAGTAGGGATGATCAACATTGGCAAACTCGATGAATTTCTCCTATAGGGGAAATGCATTAAGAGTAAAAAAAAAAAAAGAAATAGTATGATGGTTTAAGGGCTTTAATAGGCTTTTGAGTGTTCTTTCACTTTTCGGGGGTGCATTTTTTAGGACTAGTTTCAATTGCAATCTTGTACATTTTAAAAGAGACCATCAAATTGGGAGGTTTCTTTTTTTTTTTTTTCTGGAACATTTTATGGTAATTTATTGTTTTTGAACATAAACAAAAATATACCAAAAAATTAAATCCAAAAAAATAAAAAAATAAATAAAAGGTAGTCTTAGGGACTTTTCAGATCAACTCAAAAGCCATAGTAGCAACACCATATTTGTGTATCCAAGTACACATTCGCATTATGAATAGGACACGTTTATATGCCAAATGTATTCTTATATAACCCTCCTGATTCCCTAGAATCATTATTATAACCCGATGTGGAAAAATCAATCCCATATCACACACACATATTCATAGATCTTTATTACTATTTATCTTTATATTATAAAGACTGAATAATAAGGCTTCATGCACACTGGAGCTTTTATAAACACTTTTCTCCTGGCAGGAGAAAAGCAGCTTAAAAAAAATGCACCTAAGCCGCATTTTTGAAAATGCGTTTAGGCACATCAAGCGTTTGGGAATTTATTTTATTGGCCAGAATATTAATTTATTTTGGCCACTGAAATGAAAAAACACAAGTGCTAAACGTGCCTAGTGCTTGGGTATGTTTACACGTGTTTATGCACATCAGGTGTTTTTTATGCTCAAAAGCATCTCTCCTGAATGTGACTTTGCTGAGTTTTTTCTGCCTCTAAACTCCTGTAATTGTCTATGGTGTGCATCGACGAACAGGCTAACATGAATGGATGTTTAGAAGGAGAGAAAACAGCTGCAACACCTGTAAAAGTTGCCTTTTTAAGTTCAAGTGTGCATGAGGCCTAAAACATACTGGGTTCCATCAATTATGCAGTGTAAAGAGTGTGCAGATACAGCAGTTGATATTATAGTAACATCTGGATATAATACATATTATACATACTGAAAGATTTTTAAAAGACTTATGGACTGACATAATAAAATAATTACCTTCCTCACTCCATGCTTCAACTCCCATTGCCAGGTTCCTTGCCTGGATTTCCCCTCTGTATACTGGAATGGTAGGATTCTGTCCCATAAAACAAGCTATAATGTCTGTACCACCTACAACAGGGAAAGTATTTTTATTTAAGATCATGCAAGAAGAATATTTGATGATTTACTATCAAACTCTCACTGAATTTCACAAACCACTGGTAGAAGCAGATAGCCCCTGCATGATCCTAGCTACAATAGAACACATCTCTATTCCAGGAATGATAAGGAAGGATTCAGGGATCCCACTACATGTGCATTTTCTACGAATGGCTATGTAGAGTCATACAATGGGGGTATAGGAAGGGTTTAGTTAAAGTTATTTATGACTGCCTGTTTCTAGTAGTTTGTGATCTGTTTTTGCAGCAGTTACATCAGTGCAACATAGACATCATCATCATCAGTAAATACATTTAATCAAACAGGAATGGAGAAGACAGATCTCCTTTGTGGTTTTTACTACCTGGATGGAGTTTCAGTGCAGACCCCTAAGGCTAAATGTGAACAAAGCAGTGTGTACACAGCCCTGGGTCAGGGTTGGCAGGGACAGAAAAGACGGTAAGAGGCTGTACTGAATGCTATCCCTCAGTATATTAACTAATGAATTTTAAAAGTACAATTACTTAATAAAGCAAAGAGCAGTGATTATGTTCACACTGCCGTAAGCTTTAACAAAAAAATCAATTTACTAACAAAACAGTGCCAGATAGATTCTTACTAATTACAATAGGCTATTGAGTAGTAACAAAAAGTACATATCCAGATGGAAAAAAGTGATATAGATTCAATAGTCAAATCTAAAATTACTTTTTTTTTTTTTAATTTTTTTTTCTTTAAACATCCAGGAATCAAAAAGCAAAGCAAAACAGTGATAGATCCAATAACCAAACCTAAATTACTAGATTTTAAAACACCCAGGAATCAAAGGTAAGATGATCCTAACTGGTTTCATATCACGCAAGTGCTGCATACCCCTAATGGGTGGAACTGCTTTTGATTGCTGGATTTTTAGTCCTCGTGAACATTGGACCTTTTTACAGCGGCTGTTTTTGGCTTTTGATGTCTTTTTCTACAGCGAGTAAACCCCCCCAGCATGTTATCCTATGTGTTCATGCACACAGACTGTAATCAATGTTTTTTGGCAGGGGCGTTTTTTGGCTGGAAAAAAACCCAGGACTAGTGAGTTTCTAGAGGAGTTTTTTAGCTGTAAAAATGCTGTAAGGCTGAAAAATGCAGCAAAACATGGTAAATCGCAGCAAACCGGCGTTTTTGGACTTTTTTTTACAAAAAAAAAATTGGGGGGGGTAAAAAAAACACAAAAAAACACGCAAAAAAAAAACACAGCTAAACGCTAATGCAAAAATACTGAAAAACTCAGATTTTTAATATGACTTTACACAGCTAACATTACCAGTGATATTAAAATGCCCAATGTGCATGCAGCCTTAAACTCAAATACAAATTAAGTTTTATTCATCAAGATCCTGAAGCTACAATTACGGTAATCTTTTTAAGGTTTTCTAATTTGTCTGTACAGTGGACTGCAGTGCCTTCCACTGATTTTTCTTTTATTCTAACATTCTTATTGCTTTCTACATGGCCTCAAGTATACTGTATATATTTTTTTCTATTTGTATAATAATAAAAAAAAAAAAAAACAGAAGCACCCTTCAGACAAGAATCTGAATACACACACAAATACACACACGACTCAAACAAAATCTATCAATTTTACCAGAGATGGATCCCAGAAGAACATTGCTTTTTATTTGCTTATAAACATAATCATAGCTTTGTGGCTTTAGAGGTGATCCAGTTGATAGTATGGTGTGAAGTGTTTGCAGGCTATTGGTTTCACCTGTTATAAAGGAAAAAAAGAAAAAATGAAGGATTACCACATGCAAAGATGTTTTGTATGACAAAACTGGTTTTGAAAAATTTGTATGTATGAACTGTATGCAGTTGTATCCAAATCTCTGTAATTCTGAGGGCCAGATCTCTGGGCACTAGGTCTGATATACTTGAAATGCTTTTTTTTTTCCCCCATAGAATTTTCTTTCTGCATACATTAGTAAATCTTTTCTAAAAGCTAGGTCATTCCTTATCCCTGTCCAATATCTCAAGCATAGGACCGACATGGAGAATGGGATAACACGCATAGACAATTTGTACACACATACTAAGGCCAGTTTAGACAGGAACCAATTACTTAGCAACATGTCTGTCTTCGGAGTGAGGGAGGAAACTGGGAGTACCTGGAGGAAAACCATGAGAACACAGAGAGAACATGCAAACTCCATGCAGGAAAAAAACTTTACCAGGGTTTTAATAATTTCTTACTCTATCCAACTTTAAAAAAAAAACTAAAAAACGTTTTGGGTTCATTAGAAAGTGTATCTAAAATGCTAAAGGTGTTTTTTTTGGGTTTTTTTAAGTGTTACTAAACCCACAACAGCAAAATCAATCTGTATATGCAGTAAAGCATGCTTGTTATACTCACTGTGGAACTTAAGTGGTTAATCCTCTGCATTGTGTAAAAAGGATGTTTAATCCATCTTTTCTGATCCTCCCCTTCTTCCACTGTCCCCGACTCATCTCCTGATAGAACAGAGCCTTGGGTGCAAGCTGCACATGCGCAGTTTGGGGTGTACTACTAGAGAGGTTATTTTCTTAGGAGGGTGCAAGTGATCAGCACAGGGTCAATCAGCACTGGCCAGACAGAGGGCCAGGGGTCCTACAGTCTCATAGGACAGTGAGAGGAGAATGAAAACTCCTCCTACAAGCTTTAACCAGTGCTCTGCTGAACACTGATAGAAGTCACAAGATTGCTCTAACTGCTAATGAGAAAAAGGTATTTAGCAGTTTATATTTACTAAAATAATTGCATTATCATGTTCTGTGTACTGCAGGAGACCAGATATAGTGAATGCAGGATCATGGGTTTAGTAACACTAAGTTTTTCCTTTGAAGTTAATGTTCTTTAAATTGGTGTTTGATATCTATACAATTACTATTATGTATTTATTTAACAAATAAACATTTAACATGGGGTATACTCATTAGACTTGTATGATAGATCATTGTGAGTTGAGAGAATACAACAGAAGGTGTTTGCTTTTAGACTTTTTCCTTACCAATTGAAACTCCATATTGGCCCCTATGCACTGAACAGGCAAGGATAGGGATAGGAATAAGCCACTCCACTGATTTATTCACGTTAGGATTTATACATTTATTAGATAATTAGTTTATAGATCATTTAGCTCTGTAATCCTTTTCAGCAAAGCAAAATCCTTACAAACATATGACAAGCTGCCCCAAGTGTTATATATGTTTTCAGGAAATGTAAAATATACATATGCAAAATTCCATATATATATATATATATATATATATATATATATATATATATAAAATTTAGTCTTGAATATAAATACATAAACATATATTTCCTTTAAAATTATTAGGCACAGTAACAAAATGCAACTTACGAGGTTTAAAATTCTTCTCCTCTAGAACAGCCAACCACTTGGCTCCGGTTCCCAATATGGTTATCCTTCAAAAGAACATCACATTTCAGCAAGACAAGGACAGCGCGTATATTTATCTTACTAAGTGTATTTAGGCAGCAGTGATTACTGTAAATCTGGAGGTACACTAATAGCCTATGTTGGAATGCCAGTTTCTGATATTACATAACTGCTCTTACAGAAGCCAGAATTTCTGATAGCATGCGTGTTGACAAAATTATACCGACAGTCAGACATGTGGTATCTAATGTATACAGAACAAAACAGTACAAGGAGAGATATCCTGCCTCTTAAGCCATACCTGGAGGGTTTTTCTTTTATTTTTTATGTGAGGGACCAGATGAGATTCGATCCATGTATGGGCAGGCTGATTGTACCAAAGTCAATCCATCAATCAACTTGGATTCAACTAGTCTGTTGGATTTTTTTTATATACGATAACTGCAGGAGACCCAGGCTGATAGCACTAATCGTGTTCTGCCAGCTGGGAAGGCTCCCCATACAACTCACCCCCCCCCCCCCCCCCCCCACCTTCCCTGCCAGCAGAACACAATAGCACTGTGGGAGATATTTCCCCATCAACACTGACTGTGTTGATGGGGGAATTGAGCAATTTTCTTTCCTTCCACCCGTGGTGGAAGGAAAGAAAATCTATTCATCTATGCCTTGCCTTTTGCAGAACACAAAGGAAATGAACAATACAATGTGCGCTTATGGACTCCTGAGCAACAGTGCATCCACTGTGGTGTCCAGCATTAGTGTCATTGTCAGCGTAAACATGTACCCATTATGTTATCCAGCGCTGCACTGGTTGCACACTTGTTAAAGGCTGAACTTTTTTATTTATTTAGTTTTTGATGGAGTGGGATGGATTAGACTCACTGCAGGTGTTTATTGCTATCTGTGTCCTCGCTGGGGAAATGCATATTTGTTTCATAAAAGGTAAAGGCAAAGCCAAACATTTAGTCACTAGAAGAAGAGGTGAAGGTAAAGCATCCAAAGGGGACAAATATTACAGTGACAAGACGAGGATTTCCTGCCGTTTCTCCAGGACATGAATGAAAATCTCCTCAGCTGGACATAGCACAAATTAAACTCACGGGGTGTTAACCCCTTTTCCTACTGTATCCAAAAATAAAAAAAGTTTTGACTTTGCATGCACTCTAAAGGTCATCCACCCAGTAAATGGTAAAGGATAAGGAGTTTGCATTAAAGGGAAAAGCGTACTGCTTTTGTAGAAGATGCATTCTTTCATACATATAAAGAAGACTTTCATAGTGAACCTTCAGGAATCCTATTGTTTAAGGGATATGAACATGGGATTATTTGCGGCTCAGCCTGCAAATGTATTGCTCTTCTTTCAGCCTGTAATCATACCTGCACCAATCTCATACCAAGGTTAAAATTGAGAAATTAAAAAGTCTTAGCAATAATAACAATTTGAATGTGTCCTTTGAGAGTATAACATTGATTAGAGAAAGTAAGATTTGGGCAGCTTTTTAAACCCAATAGTATCACTACGATTCCATTAACCTTTCCATGGAAAGAGCCATCTCAGTGGGATGTAACCTTTCATCAGGGTACTCAGCTAAATGTCACTGGGGAAATATTGCTGAGATGTCAAAGCAGAATAAAATAAGCACAGTGACTCAGTTACTACCATTGTACAATGCACTGGATGATCAGAACACAGAAAGTTCTCTGAGCTCTCTGCAGAGCTCTGTCCTTCCATGAAGAGCTCATGAAAAACTTTGTGTGTTATTGTACCCAGAAAGTATTGATTGATACAGAGAGTATCCAGCACAGCAATGTACCTTTCACTACAGACAACTACCATATCATGGCCACCAACATAGGCATAACAATAGATTTTAATTGTTTCACTTAGGGCTCGTTAACATTACGTGCAGTGACTGATGCTTTTCTGCACCTGATCAATGACAGTCACCACAAGCGCACATAGAAACCAATTGTTTAACACAAGCTGAATGCAAAGCTTCTGTGTGCTACCAAGTAGTTGACAAAACCGGTTGATCAGCACATCCTTAAGAATATGCAATAAATGGGAAGTTTTACATATTCTATAAACAAATATTCAACAAATAATCCAGTAAAAGAGAATGTGTTTTGACCTGGTTTTATACAGTCCTGAGGGTGTGCAGATCAACAAATTTTCTAATGATTTAAAAATGCATTTTTTATATCTGTTCTATGCAAAATCTTATTGAATATTTAAAATGGTTCTAAACTCAGTATTGTTTTTATTGTAATGTATCATGGGTAGAAACAAAAAACAAACTACCCACTACCTAATCTACCCACCCCCATTTCTAAACACTTACCCGAGTCACCAATCCAGCTCTGTCCACCATTCTTCTCTCTCTATAGGTTCCCACTACTGTCAAACTCTTGTGAGGGGAGAGCGAGGATGGAGCTAACCAGCACCATGTATGTCTATGGATGCACACAACCCAGGTCAGGAGTGTGCACCTATGGATACCCCCTTAGCACCTAGCCTGTTGAGGGTGCACTCGTAGGAAGGAGGAGCGGACAGCACTGGCAAGGGGGCCGCCAAAGAGGAGGCAAGAAACTGCTCTGCACAATATTGTTGCACAGAGCAGATAAGTATAACTTTTTTTTATTTTAAAAAGAAAAAAAATTATCCTTTAGAAATCACTTTAATAAACAGATATCCAATACTAAACAAGATTCCATTAAAATTTAGAGAACAGCGTCACATTCACAGACTTTAGCACAGCAGCACATCTATTGTGGTGTCCAGAATAAGTGTCAGCATTGGAATTTTTACATTCAGCTCCGGATGACACTCAGGCTACACATACATAGGAAAATCCTTGAGGACATTCAAGAAGAAGATCTATATCATCGATCAGCTAATATCTTTTCTGATAACAATAGGCATGCCTCTTACAAGCTGTTAAGCAGTTCCTGCTATGAACTTTGTTTGGAAGGATCTATGCATACTCCATGAAGGAAATATAGCCTTGATCTGATTTTTTTTTGTTACTTGGGCAAATATTGTAGCTCATATCATCTTGTGAGAAGATGACATGAGCAGACATGCAATCCATACAGCACACAGCATGTGAAAATGAATATGATCATATACAGTACATTCTGCTATGTCTGTAGTGATTTACTATACTTCTATGAAATAATACACCTTCCGGGCAGAAGGAAAGCTATTAGACATGCTGGATGCCCAAACAAGAAAAATAGATACAGTCCAATTAGCTGGATGTAGAATATCTTTGTACAGTAACACAGAGCAACCACTTGTGGTCTGTCTACACTGAATGCAGAGTATACTATGGGATTCCACTCATACCTGGCCTTTGCACACATAACTAAATAAAGCCCAGTATGACAGTATATCATAGTTATAGAATGTCTATAAACATAGTACAAATCCTAAAGATAGCACATTTGCATTAAAAAGATCACTTTTGCAGTGAAGTCAGTTTGATCAGAGTTAAAAAAAAAAAACTTCATCTTTCGACCAAAAAAAAAATAATAAATGCCCTTTCTTTGCAGGTTAAAAAAAAATGTGCATTTATTATTTTTGGTTACTGGAGCCTGTAAAGCATTGCACCAGTGATCAGCATATGTACAGGCAAGCAGATATTCTGTCAGGAAGAAGCAATTAACTACCACAGCACTCCACAGCAGAATGGTAGTTCATTGAGAACTACAGGTTGATAGTCCCTAAGGCTGAGGGGTCTTGTAGTTCATTCATTCACAGAACACTGTAAATGAATGACGTGGCTGTGTGGGGTGTAGTCCTGCATGGCTGCGCTGTTTTTAAAAAGTGACAGCTAGTACAGGGAACTTCTCCCTGTACTTCTGTTACAGGAAGGCAGGCAGTGGCGGCAGCATTAGGAACATGTTACATATTCCACCCCAAAAATTAGAGCAGTCAGGATCAAACATCCTTTTTACACAATGCAGAGTATTAACCCCTTAAGTGCCACAGTGAGTAGAACAAGCATGCTTTACTTCATATACAGACTGATTTTACTGTTGTGGGTTTAGTAACACTTTAAAGGATAAATTCACCTTTGGAAACATGTTACTAAACCCACAACAATAAAATCAGTCTGTATATGCAGTAAAGCATGCTTGTTATACTCACTGTGGCACTTAAGGGGTTAATCCTCTGCATTGTGTAAAAAGGATGTTTGATCCTGACTGCTCTAATCCTCCCCTTCTTCCATGTTCCCCATTTCATCTTCTGATAGAACATAGCCTCAGGGACACACTGTGCATGCTCAGTTTGGTGTGAACTGCTAACAAGTTTTTTCTTTTTCTTGGGAGTGTGCATGTGATCAGCACAGAACCAATTAGCACTGTCCAGACAGAGGTCAGGGATTATGCAATCTCATAGAGCAGTGAGAGGAGAATGAAAACTCTTCCTCCCACAAGCTTTAACGAGTGCTCAGCTGGACACTGATAGAAGTCACAAGACTGCTCTAATTGCCAGTGAGAAAAGGTATTTAGCAGTTTATATTTACTAAATAATTGCACTTCCATGTTCTGTGTATTGTGGCAGACCAGATATAGTGAATGCAGGGTCCTGGGTTTAGTAATGCCTTAATGTCTCTAGTGCAATAGATTGTGAGCACAAGAGAGGAGCTGAAGAGAGATAGGTGAGGTCTATGGCAGGTTTACCATTATTCTTCCACACAGCCAGACTGCAGTTATTTTAAAGCAAACCTTTCAGGTTTTGTTCTCCAAAATCCTTTCCTGTGTGCTCCTGATTTGGGGTACACACAGAATACAGTCTGACTTGGCTTCTTATCCTTTTTCAAAAGTCAAGAGATGTGACCATTAAATACTATATGTAATGCTTTTTGTTTCATCTTTCAAAACATGTTTGACAGACCCACTCTCCTCACAAAGTCTGTACTGCTTTGACCTGAAGAAAAGAGTGGGCCTCTTTACAGCTCGTGATGAAGAGTGGGCCTCTTTACAGCTCGTGATGAAGAGTGGGCCTCTTTACAGCTCGTGATGAAGAGTGGGCCTCTTTACAGCTCGTGATGAAGAGTGGGCCTCTTTACAGCTCGTGATGAAGAGTGGGCCTCTTTACAGCTCGTGATGAAGAGTGGGCCTCTTTACAGCTCGTGATGAAGAGTGGGCCTCTTTACAGCTCGTGATGAAGAGTGGGCCTCTTTACAGCTCGTGATGAAGAGTGGGCCTCTTTACAGCTTGTGCAAAAAAATATCACATATAGTACTCATACGTTTTGCACTAGAATGGCTTTCACCCCACACATGTTGCCTTTACACAACTGGTTTTGAAGACTTAAGATATTTCAGCTGCAGATTTCCATTTATATGAGCTGCATTCTGATATCTGTTGTTTAGGAACAAGTTTACTGCTCCATGTAAGAGGTCACCGTGCCAGACTCTTCTCTCGATTTTACTCTGTAACAGAGGGGCCTTACAATGAAGTTCTGTCATGAAGCAACATGTGTCAGATGGAGGAGTCTGGGGCAGGGATGCCTTACACAGAACAATAATGTTTTTTTAATTGGATTATCTATGTACAAGAATCCAGTTGTAGGGGTTGGATGTGCGCTGAAGTTTCCCAGCACTAGGGAATCTGACAGAACCTGGAGCGATGTGCATTTCTATTGCAGTTTTACATTAACGTGTCATGCACGGAAAAACCTGAAATTTTTTTTTAAAATGATGTCTTACCCCAGTCTGTCCACGAGATCCCAAAGTATGTTGGGATTAGGAACAAGAGGAGACCCATCATACAGCACCACCGAAGCTCCAGTGGCTATAGCTGTAACCAGCCAGTTCCACATCATCCATCCAGCCTGTAGGAAAACACATCCATATTACCATTTACCAAGCTAATCGTACTACAAAAATATCAATCTAATTTAGAATAACTGAAGATCTGAACTTGGCGTCTACAAAACAGAATACAGAATAACCAAAAATACCAACAAAACAAATCTCAGAGAAAAAAAAAAAAAAGGTGTCAATATTACAACCAAATAGCAGCTGTACACAATACCCTGATACTAGGCATGTCCAAGTAGTGTAAAACAACCTGTGAAAAAATCCTAAAATGTAAATCTTACTCCTAAGAGCGTTACATGATGAATTATAATTTATAATTTCACACTGTATCATTATACTTCATCACGTAAAACTATTATGAGTAAGATTTTTTCACTGGTTGAGCGCTACACTATTTGTTTTACAGGAAATATAATAAGTATTAAAGTGGAACTACACTTCAGCTAAGCGAAAGCAAAAATGCTATTTAATTAATTTGTAATATTCAAAGCAAACCCCCCCCCCCCCATCCATCCCAGTGTCTATGCTTTATGTTCCTGGGAAATCACCTTGAAAAAACACCCCCTAGCATTATTGGGCGTGGGCATCTTGAGTTAGGGCAGATGATTCATGTAGTTTCCTGGAATCCATCTGCCCTTAGCTCAGGCATACAAGGAGGTTGTGCTTAGCTGAGAAAATCACCCCTCCCCTCCTGAAGGCTCCTGGGATGTATGACATCATTTGCCTAGGTGAGAAACCAGGAAGTAACTGAAGAAACATAGAACAAAATGGTTCAAAAACAAGTAAATATGATACTGTATAATGTTCCTAACTATTTACTAATGCTAGCAGTATAAGGATTAAAAATACGCATTGTTGACAGAGAGTGAAGTTCTTGGCTATTTCAGCAGTGTCACACGGCTTTAGCTTAAGTGATATGCTTTTGTATTACTTAAAGGCTTACAAGAAAAGCAGTATAACCAGCCCCTCCTGCAAAAAAATAAAGTCAAACCAATACTGGATTGTAATTATAATAATTATCTAACTCCATAAGGGACTAGCTCTACTGCTGTTACTCATTGTCCAACTCCAGCCATAACTTTTAATTTTTTTTTAGATAGAGTGGGAAAGGGTTAGAGACCGTAAGTTTTTTATCATTATGTATGTGCCTTTTATGGAGAATTCTTCTTACTTGCGGTCAGGACAGAAGTGGCATAGTCTCTCCGTATAGGACAGTCAAAAACACATTTTTAGTAGACTGGAAAAAAGTCATCACTTCTGACAATGTGCCTTCTGTACCGAGTTGAAGTTGGATAAAAGCAACAACCTCTTAAAATAAAATACTCAAGGCCAATTTACCGTGGTGTAGTACATGACGAGATCACTGTAGTAGTATTGCCATGAAGAATATGCTCTGACAAATGTTTGATCAGACTACCCTAAAATATAAAACCAGAAAAGCAAACAATTAGAATGTACCGCACAATTCTGTCCTAAAGTTCCAGCAATAACTTGGGTACAAAACAAGAAAACAAAAAAAAAAAAACAAAAAAAAAAAAAGAAGAAAAACACAGAAAACCACAGCAAGAACTTATCCTAGGTGTCAGCCAGTAGACATATGGAATGACTGTTTATGGACCTCTATGGCCTGCGCACAAATTGACTGTGTCTCGGTAATTTAGAATCAAAGTTGGATCTGCAAAACAAGATGTCTTGCCTACTGTTGCTGTGGCCCTCTAGAACCTAAATATCCATTTCCAACACATTACCTTTAAAAATATAAATTTTATAAAGCAACATAGGAGAGTATGCTGTACATTACTGAACATGGTACAAACAGGATTCTGCGGAACAAGCAAACATTTCAGCACTGCAGATCCAAAGGATCTCAGGAACATATGGACCATAGTTACATAGCTAGTTGGGGGGGGAAAAAAAGCAAAAAAAAAAAAAAAACACACATTCATCTAGTTCAACCATTAAAAAGGGGATAAAAAGTTATACAATCCTATACCCACAGTTGATCCAGAGAGGAAGGCAAAACCCCCCAATAAAGCATGATCCAATTTGCTCCAGCAGGGGAAAAAACATTCCTTATTGATCCCCCAAAAGACAATTGGATATTCACTGGATCACCTTTACCTATAAATGTTAGTATCCAGGTATATTTACATTTAGGAAAGAATCCAGGCCTTTTTTAAAACAATGTACTGAGCTGGCCATAACCAGCTCCTGAGCGGTTTCCACATTTTTACCGCTTTTACTGTGAAAAAGCCTTTCTGTATTTGGAGATTAAATCTCTTTTCCTTCAGATTGTCCTCTGTGATGACTATAAAGTGAATAACTCTACACCAAGCTCACTATATAAATAAGCTCACTATATGGACGACCTATGTATTTATATATGTTGATTCCCCCCCCTTAACCAACTCTTGAGGGAGTCTATTCCACATTTTCACAGCTCTCACTGTGAATAAACCTTTCCGTGTTTGGAGACTAAATTTCATCATAACCCCCTTAATCTCCTCTTCTCAAGAGAGAATAAATTCAGTTCCTCTAACCTTTCCACATAGCTGAGCTCCTCCATGCCTCTTATCAGTTTGGTTGCCTTTCTCTGCACTTTCTCCAGTTTCCCCGATATCCTTTTTGTGAATTGGTGCCCAAAACTGAGCTGCAGGGGTAATTATATATATTTCTCTACAGTAAATATCTTGCTTAATATTAGAAAGGATTTTGCTTGCTTTGGAGATCGCAGCTTGGCATTGCATGCCATTATTAAGCTTATGATCTACCAGAACTCCCAGATCCTTCACCACCGATTCCCCCAATTGTACTCCCCCTAGTATGTATGATGCATGCATATTCTTAGCCCCCAAGTGCATTACCTTACATTTATCAACATTAAACCTCATTTGCCACACAGTTGCCCAATTAACCAGTTGGACCAAAAATTAAAAGTTGGACCAAAGTATGCAAGAACGATCTGGGATCCACTGAAGAAGCTCCACCAACAACAAAGGTATTCACTTTTAGACATAATTCCTATAAATATAATTTAATTATTTTTTTAAATTACTGGTCTTTTTATTGTTATTATTAGTAGCTTCCCAGTATACTTATGGATACCCATAAGACATTTCTCACTACACTGACCCCTTGAATCCATTATGCTCAGGCTTCCCTTCCACCTGAAAGCCTTACCTTGCTGTAAGGTTTTTATCATAGCAGGGGGTGCATGGAGAGCCTCCTTGTCTTTACTCTTTCATTGCTTTTCCTTCCCTCTGCTTTCTGTGCTTCTCCATCACTTTCTAGTTACCCATCTAATTTGTTCCAGAGATCTTAAGGCCCATGTCTCTTTCCTTTGCATGAAAAGTTCTCATCTGTACATTGAGGCAAATGACTGATGGCACATCCTGTGCACCAGCCTTTGTTGTATGCTTGTTTGTCACCACTCAGGCTTTATGTTCTTCTGTGACTGTCAATAATGGAGAGTCATACACGATTTCCTGTTGAATGCCTTTATATCTAAAAGGTATGTATCTCTGTAACAATGCTTATTTCTATTTGTTACAATTAATACAAATCTTTTGAAATTGAAAAATAAACTTTGCTGACCCAACTATGCAGTCCTGCAGTTCAATGTTCCATTTCCATGATTATGTACACATAACATGGACTGGAAAGGGTTTCTAATGGCCAAACAAGAAAATGTATGCCTCAAAAATGAAATCTTCAATATCATCTGCATTACTACAGTCACAACAGACCATAGAACTGTTATGAGACCTAGATCACTAGGGAATGCAATATAATTTGCAGCATATGGGTTTTAAAATAAATCAATAGGTGAATATGTTACGAAAAAAATATTTTATTTTTTTTTTTACTTCAGACACCATCAAAACAGCTGTTATAAAAAGCGTTTAACGATATACTTTGTTCGCTGGGTAAGCCAAAAGGTCTCTATAATAAATTTTGGTATGGGCCATGGCTATATACTGTATTGCCAGTGCTAGACTGTATATATTATTTATTTTTTAAAAATCAATATATATGCAATATATTTGTTTTCAGAGGTGTTTGTGTGTGTGTGTGTGGGGGGGGGGGGTAATAGTTGGCCCTTTTATTGTCATATATGGAAGCATTCTTTAAACTGCTTCTGTAGTGAACAGGTTAAAAAGACATTGCTTATGTCTCACAGAAGTGCTGAGGACACAGCAGCTCCGTAGGTGAGATTTCACATTGCAGTCAGCAGGCAGACTCGTGCACCGTTCACACATCGTCTGCTCTGCTGACGTATTGTCAGAGGAGCAAATGGTTTGAGATAACTGTTTGTTTCTGCATTTTAAAATCTCCAGAGCAATGACAACAATATGCTTTACTGGATGTGACAGATACAATAACATCAAGTAGCAGAATTTAGAGTATATACACTTCGATATATATTTGCCACAAGAGAATAAGCCTCGGCACTCTGCCATTAGAGTAAAAGGACATGGGATACAACTGTAAAAATCTCTATGCTCTGCTGACAGTGGAAGCCAACTAGAAATGTCTGTTGTGGTAACACACACAGAACTTTAAATATATAGTCACGTGATTGTCTATAGCATCAGCAATTATAGCAGAACTTTATTCATAACAACTCGATACAAAAATAATGTTCTTTAGCAAACATACATTCCACATTAATATTTATGCTACCAAAATGAGTGGGTGCTGTAAATTGCCTCCAGCATTGTTCCTGCTTCTTCCTGCTGGAGGCTGCCATTTTGCTGAAGTTCAGAGCCCCTGAGCAGCAGTAAATCTATAGGTTCTCAGCAGATCGGCCCAATGGCAAAAAATAGTGAACAACAGAGCATGTGCGGAGCATGGTGAGACAGTGTATTACTGGATTTTAAAAAAAAACTACTGCCAATACTGGACCAACAAAGCTGAAAAAGAGCCTGCCCATCCAACTACAGTACTCTAGGCCAGCCTTTTTCAACCACGGTGCCCAGGCACCCTGGAGTGCCTTCAGGCTTCTTCAGGGGTTTCTTGGCAGAATGCATAATAATTGCCCAAAAATTGTATACAAGCCAGTGGATGGACCAAGCCTGCCTGTTAGCTACACAAAGCCACAGGTTTTCATTGTGCACCATTACAACCTTCCACCCGCCGTGTCCTAATAACCTATGATGTCATCATTTGATAAGAAGGATGTCAGGCCCCTGTACAGCATCCTTGTTTGCCCCTCTCCTTCAACACTGGGGTCACATTAGATGAGTGAGGGAGAGAAGCTGAGGGAAAGAGAAACAGTGGAGTATTAGTCAGTACCAGTGTGCAAAAGTGTGTTTGCTTTGGAAGAATAAATCACCTCTAATGTTGGGTGTCCTATGTTTGTGGATGTTGTTGCATTACGTAAAACTATTAATTTAGTTTTTTACCTTTTAGAATGGGGTGCCACCAGATTGTGCAGATTTTTAAAGGGTGCCTTTACTGAAAAAAGTTGAGAAACTGTTCTAGGCTAGTGTTTATCAATCTTTTTCCACCCTTTAGAATTATGGACAATCTCGAGGCACCCCATTCTAAAATATAAAAAGTAAACTAACAGTTTTACATATTGCAGTAATATCCACACATGTAAGACACCCAACAATAGTGGTGATTTATTCTTTCAAAGCAAATACACTTTTGCACACTGGTAATGACTAGTATTTCAACATTTTTTGTTCCTCATTTTCTCTCGCCCACGTAACTAATGCGATCCCAGTGCAAACAGAGAAGGGCAGGGAGGACAAACAAGGATGCTGTGCAGGTGCCCGAATGTCCTCTTCATCAACCAATGACATCAGAAGTTGTTAGGACACTAGTAGCTGGCCTGATCAGTGTCCAAGCTTTGTAATGTTGAACAATGAAAACCTGTAACTTTGTGTAACAAAAAAGTAAGCTTGATCCACCTGCTGGCTTGTACACAATTTGTGGGCAATTTTTAGGCATTTTGCCAAGGCACCACTAAAAAACCCAGGACGCACCCTCATTGAAAAAGGCTGCTCTTAGCACTTTATAGATCTCTGCCCATTATGTCTAAGTTTGGAAGTGTTCTGATGACCCTGCTGTGGAAAGAGGAATCCACTCCATTTTACAGGATCACACATCTAAAGGCCATCAATCCTGAAAGACTATGACAGCACTATATGCTTTAGCAAGACAACCTACATTGAGGTCCGAAACATCTAAGGCTAGGTTTACACCTGTGCGTCTGCTTTTTCTTTTCATTAGATTTTTATTGGGTTTGTACATTACCAAAATAACATAGTACAAGGTTAGACACGATAAGAGGACAGCTGTAGATGCGTAACATACATAAATGAATAGGCACACACTGTATCCCTGGCAACAGGCGACAAAACAATAAGGAGACTGAGCTGAATAGCAAATGCTTAACCTTGGCAAACCA